TGTTACCGTATGGGACCAAAGGCAAAACGATGTCGAAAATTTTTTCTAAAGTACCCCGATCCAGAAGTTATCGCGTACCACATAATCAACCATGGAGAAGACGAATCTGCAATCGGTTTTGATCGAACAAGCTTTTAAAATTTTTCCATCCGGTGATATGTTAATATTTACAAGGAAAAACAAAGCAACCATTCTGGGTGTGTCTGAAAGATGTTCGATGAACAAGAAGATTTTTAGTGCCTTTTTTCTAGAAGAATCGATGTGTCGCTTATCATGATTTCTTCTCGTATTTTTAACGTAGGTGATTCATGATTCTTTAACTTGCATAGGATTGAGGTTAACTGAAGTTACAGAAAAGAATACGAAAAAGGTAATGAGAATTTTATCTTGGATGTTTTTTTTCCAGCTCCTACGGGGTAAAAGTCCAGAGTAGCTTTAAATAGCGTTCTAATATATCTCTGTGGATCTTATACTGAAACAATGAAAGTTTCTTCATAGTATATGAAAACGGTAAAAAAAGTTAAAAAAGTCATATATACTTGTTTCATTATCAACATCAAGCAGAAAGCGAGATTAGATAGGACAGGTGAATTGTTTTCCTGTATACATATATGTGCGTCGTATCTTTAGATCACGAAAATTTATTGAAATCGATTGTGTGCAGTATGTCAAATTACGCCAGGTACATTGCTTTATGCTTTGTACTCATTCTAAATCAACATTTGGGATTGACGGGTAAATCATTTCTACAAAAAAAATTATCTTCCATCGAAAATCTGAATCGCAAATATTGTCTTTGAGAACGTCGTTGCCGATGTCTGGCGAATGATTCATCGTGTTGGCCAAATGCTTCTGCTTGGCAAATTTTCAATTATTCGGTGAATGGTCGCATTGTTTTACCTCGAACATCAGCTGCGGTGTGCACTAAAGATGAATTTAATTTAGAAGCCTGCATTGCAGCCGCTTCTCTATGGACGAATTCAATGTGGCGTAGTTATCAGGTAGGTGGTATGCAATACTTTAATTGGGAAAATGTCTCATGTTCAATATCCAATGGAAACTCTTCATGCAATCAAGGATCTGTACCTGTCATTGGAGTTAATGCTACGTGGCCTGAACATGTTCAAGCAACTATTAGGTATGCTGCGACAAACAATCTACGTCTAGTGATCAAAACAACAGGACACGATCTCTTCGGTCGATCAACAGCAGCCGGATCTCTACTTTTATGGCTTCATTATATGAAAAACATGACACTCATTGAAGACTACTCATCGTGTGGTGCTGCGAGTGTACCGAATGTTGTCCGTCTTGGTGCTGGAATCCAATGGGGTGAAGCCTACGAATGGTTAGCTAAGTATAATTTGACAGTGATCGGTGGCAATTGTAATTCTGTCAGCGCTGCTGGCGGTTACTTACAAGGAGGTGGTCATAGTCCATTGTCGCGATGGAAAGGTATGGCTGTCGATCAAGTACTCGAATATGATGTTGTCTTGGCAAATGGGGAACGTCAAACGGTGAGTGCGTGTCAAAACAGCGATCTATTCTGGGCATTAAGTGGTGGAGGTGGTGGTACTTATGCTATTGTACTCTCGGTCGTCCTGCGAACATTTCCCATGCCATACGTTATTGGCACTTTACATAATATCCATGCCCCAAATGAGGTTCGATATGCTACTTTGATTCAAGAGTTTTTTCGAATGCTACCTAGTTTAGCTGATGCTGGATGGGCCGGCTATGTGTCTATGGTGGATACCACTATTTCTATAACATACCTTTGGCCTAATGGTAATCTCGAGGTGGCCAATGCGACCTTTACTAAATTCGTCAATAATAATACAGATTTAATTTTTTCGACAAGTGGCACAATATTTTTACCATCATTCTATGATGGGTACAAGCTTGTGTTCGAGACATCTAATCCAACTGGCTATAATAATCTGATGAGCTCACGTCTCATTCCTGAAACGATTGTCCGCACTCGATCGGATGATGTTGCACAAGTATTTCTCCGAATAAAAGGTCAAAGTAATAAACCATCGAGTTTACTAGTCAATCTTGTCGCCGGAGGACAAGTTTCGAACAACATAAATAATAGCGTTAATCCAGCATGGCGTACTGCTCTTCTTCATGTTTTCTATGGCCAAGCCTGGGCTGATGGCTTATCGATAGATGATCAAAATATGATTGCTGAACATGTCACTTCTCAAATGAAAATATTAGATTCACTTTTAAATGGCTCACAATTTGGTTCTTACATGAATGAGGCCGATCCAAATGAGCCTAAGTGGCAACAGAGATTTTTCGGTTCGCAAGCCGTCTATGATCGACTGAAAGCTATCAAAAACAACGTTGACCCACAGGGATTATTTGTATGCAAGAGTTGTGTCGGTAGTGAAGATTGGACATCAGACCTCAACTGTCCAAACACAGCAGCTATTTCAACGACCTTGTCTTCTACGACAATATCAGCTTCGATCAAATTCAGTTTAGCATGGTCGTTCGTATTTCTATTGTTATACTAAAATATATTTACGACGAGTAGCGTAACACGGACAATTTTTAAATGTCTTGCGGTGTTTTCACAGACTAAACATTTATTCCATCTCTTGCTTTTCAGTAACTAACTATTAAACAGAACACAAAAAACATAACAAAAAAATGACTACTGGTAACATCGAGTCGATTGCACAACTTCAATCGTTGTACAGCACATAGATACAGAACAGTGAATTTAGTTTTGCAGTTACTGCAAAGCTAGGTTCATGTGTTCGAATCTCTATTCATAAAAAATTGATTTTGTGTTTTTCGATTGTTTTAGTCTAGAATACTATAATGGAATATTTTTCTCTTGAACAACAAATGAATAGGCAAATGTATATGATGCTCTAGCACCATATCACAATGAAAACGAAAACTTAGAAATCGAACAGTCGGCAACAAACAGATTCACAACTTTTGTTGAAAAAGTTAAAAGCAACATATGAAAGTGCGAACTTTTGCTGGGATCAAAAGATACAAGGCTGTTTATATATACAGGGAAAAGTTGCGTTTCATTCCAGGCGGTTGATGACTCGGATTTTTTGACCGTTCCCGTTAATCCAACTTGGAGTGTGATCAAAATTGCATGCTAGTAGTAAAGAGTCTAAGTGGGCAGCATATGCATGACAATGTTAGTTTGTATAACAAACATCTTCGACAGGAAAATTAATCCAAACATTTCACCATTTATCATTAACTTTACCTAAGATTTTATTCAGATCGAAGCTATAAATTCGTAGTATATGTCGCTCTTCCTGCGCAATGACTCTAAGGCCTTTCTAGTCGACTGTTTGTGAAACGCAGCAGAAAACGTTATCAAATGACAACATCAGACTAGAAAGGATTCAGTGAAAACTAAAAGGATGTCAAGTACATATGTGGAGAAATGCATCTTCTGTACATCGCTGCAGCGTAGACATCTACAAACATTTGACTTTTATCGGATGCAGTGCAGTGTTCTGGTGTGGAAGTCATAGATTTGTTTATATGTCTGTATAGAAGAATGTCTAACGAATCTAACACTATACTACCACCAACATCCAAATGGACGGGTTTTTACACCCGCTGATCCTTTCCATAGTATTCAGGACGCTGAGTAGCCTATAGAAACGAACGTACACTACATACCCTCTTTCGCACCCCCACATTCACACCCACCCTCACTCGAAGGTTTAATTCAGTCGGAAACACATGAAGGTTTCGTTTCGGGTGCAAAACCCCGTCCGTTTGGGTGTTGGTGGTAGTATTTCGTTCAGGGTATTTTTGTAAATATATTTTTTCCCAATTTCCCTGTTTCAAATTTGATTTAAACTTTTTAGTTAAAGAAATCAAAAGGAACAAGAAAAGGAAACCAATACATCCGCTTGGTGATTAATATGCATGGTAATTTGTTAGTAGGTGGAAGTGTAATATTTTTTAATTCTTTCCGAAATGTCTTAGGCTTTGTCTAACGGTTAGTTGTGGATGTGTTGGGATGAGATTTGACCATTCTTTAAGAGCAGTCGGGAAAAAGGACAACTGAAAAAATAAACTTTTATCTGTATAATCATGTAATTTAGGCACCCTATCTCGTCTTAAACTGTATTTTGTTTTCTTTACCTCTACATATCTAACATGTTGAGCACTTAATCTAACTAAACCGAAAATAATCTTATAAATCATGCGCATTCCATTAATACAGAATAGACGAGAGAACGAGAGCCAATGTTGATCCTTGAGCAACTTATCTTTAGATGTACCTCTCATTGCACCACTAGCAGTCGAACAGATTTGATACTGACAACTCTCTAATTTTAGAATATTCTTTTGCGTAGTCAATGAGTATATTTAACTGCCATGATTAAGTAGAGATTGAATAAAAGATTTGTATAAGCATTCAAATGCTAAACAGCATTAGCGTAAAACCGACTTTTTATACGGGGAACAGAATCGGTTCAAATTTTTTTTCTGAAGAGCTTATTATGTGAATCGACGGGCAGCAAAATATCTCTTGATTCAAATCACTTTTCACATTTTGGCGCGAATACTAGCGCGTTTTAAGTGGCGCCACTATTCGCGCCAAAATGCGAAAAGGGATTTGAATCAAGAGATACTTTGCTGCCCGTCGATTCACATAATAAGCTCTTCAGAAAAAAAAGTTGAACCGATTTTGTTCCCCGTATAAAAAGTCGATTTTGCGCTAATGTTGAGATTCTATTTGAGAAGTCTCATGCAGTGAGAACAAAAGTTATTTTTCCAATTACATAGTCAACATGAGAATCCCACGATAGATTTGAGGCGAAAAATAGGCCTAGGTGTTTATGAAGAGTAACTTCACGAACTGGTTTGTTCTGAATTAATAACGGTGAATGATATGAATTTAATGTTATTGCACGTTTATGAAATAACTGGGACACACATTTTTCCAAATTTAGAGTTACTTGCCATGTAGAACACCACTGTGCTGTTTGTTCGAGACCTCTGTTTATTGTGTCTATTGACTTTTGAAGAGAAGATGAGTAGTAAAAGAGACTGATGTCATCAGCATTCAAACTGAAATGAGAATCAAGACCCTCGCCTAGTTCATCAATATAAATGAGAAATAAGAGAGGGGGCAGAATTGATCCTGAGGGACGCGCAGTTTATTTCCAAAAAATCAGACGAAAAACCATCAACAACTGTTCTTATGTTTTCCTCGTTTGTACTTTTTGCTCATATTATTACTGTTTACTTACGTAATGACAGTTAATATATAGAAAGAATGTATGAATGCTGCCACATCCAGTGACATATTAATCTCGATTAGCAAATAATGATTATAAGAAAAGTACAGTTACTAGAAACATCCGTGAAAATATCATTAAAGTGCTGCTATGTCTGAAAGTCCTCAGAAATTAAACGTAGTCATCGTTTGTAAAACAGTTGTCTTTCAGTAAATATCAAAAGTCAACACTTTTAATTCACCCCGCAAGTAGAGGAAGATCACAGCTACATTCTGGTACAAACAGAAAGTGTTCATCACCTAAGATCCGAAGTTATTCGCATTTTACCAGAAAGAGATGAAACGCTTATACCTTACGAACCATCCAGTCGAAGAGGTCTAAACTTATTGAGTGGTCAACATTCAATGAGAGTTATAATTATACAAAAGTTTGTAGTTTGAAAGTATTATGTGTCTCGAGATCCAGCGGGAACATATTTTTGTCGGCCATTCTAAATCTAAGATGTAGTAAATAAATATGCGACATTTTCTGTTGTAGTTTTTTTTCTTATAATCATTGTTTGCTAACCGAGATTAACATTTCACGCGATGCAGCATCATTCATACATTCTTTCTGTATATTAACTGTCATTATGCAAGTAAAAAGTTGGAAAGGGAGAAAATTCAATTGAGCCTCACTGCATATATTAATAAGCCTATATCTCTGAGCCTGACAAAAGTTCCCACGCGTCATATGCAACAAGTCAAAGATTGTTGCTTTTTAAAAATACGATTGTTTCTAATAAAACGTGAAAACTTAATTTGTTCTTGACTAAGGACTCATCAATGGGAACAAAACAAGTGATTCGGTCTTCGTCTGCTTTGGCTAGTGCTTATGAGAAACGACGGTGATAATTACTCTTAGCTTATAAAAACATAAAGATGATACAGTTACGGGCAATTTGTAATATAGAACATAGGCATAAATATAGGATCTCACCATAAGATATCTGTAAATAAAAAATAATCTTTTAAATGTGTTAAAAGGAAATGATATTTTCCGGACATAAATCTAATTTCAGTTGAAAGTCTACTCATAAAATAATAGAGCCTACTATATAACACTCACTCACCTTTTTCTCAATGTTTTATGGTTGTCTTACGACTACGTTGACCACTTCAACTTGCGTATGTTGTCTGCGACTGCCGCTGATTGCATTATCCAACTGCTGTTGCAACTAAAAGAAGACCGAGACTATTAAACTGTAATTCAACGAGTTTACTTCTTACTATATTTTGCAACACTTTATATCTTGATTGTGGTACTTGCCCATTAGCAATCAATGAGCTGTCGAATGCGGGTAGATTGTAAAGGATTTGAATACTACTACTTTCTCCTAAAAACAAAATACAATTGTCTTTGGTTTACTAAAAGTTGTGAGGTGAACTTACGTTGTTGGATGTTGATATTATGTCTTTGTAAAAAGACCGGGATAAGGGCAATCACGATTACGCCTGCAAATATGAAACCGAGCAGGCCCAAACAGCACAAAGCCAGTAATAGTAGACCTGCAAGTCTAAATTATAAAACACATATGAATAGGCGAATGGAAGAGAGCAAGAAGGAATACACCTCTTCAATGAAAGTGAGACCGCTTGATACTCGCGCAGTGTCTTCATTTGGAATTGTACTTTTTCAGAACAGAAGTACAATTATGGACCAATTCCTATTATAAAGGATGTAGGTAGATCATGTAGAAAATCATCTCACAACAAATCGATTTTTGTCTGTTCGAGAACAGTTGAAATGTGCCGAAATGATAGTTCTCTTAGAATGTGTGTTTGAAAATAGAATTCGTTTACAGTAACTGGTCGGAAACTTGCACAATGGATCCAAAAATCCCAAAAAGAATAGGAGA